ATTTTTTTTTTTTTTTAATTTATTTTCTCTCCTAGACCCTTCGCAGGTGCTACAGCCGCGTGAAGGAGCACGGCGTGGGGAAGAGGAAAAGCAGCTACACGTTCGAGCAGCTGGAGCAAGTTTTTGGCCAGGGAGGATGGGATTCCCAACCCTGCCAACCTGTCCTCATCAACAGCAGCGGCTTGTACCAGGAGCTGGAGTCGGACGGCAGCACCATGGAGGAATATTCGCAGGAGGATTGGGGAAACCACAGCCAGGAGCTTCACTGCTACCAGACCGGCGAGCAGGAATTGGGTGAGAAATCTCAAATCCTCGTGTTTTATCCACTCTCCGGGCTCATCTCACAAATTTGTATCTCGCTACCAAGCTTCGGATTTTGGCCAGAATCTCTAGATGCTTTTTCTTTCCTTTTTTTCCCCAAAAAAATTCCCCCATCCAGTCCATCATCAAAAAAAATCCAAAATATTTTAGGATCAGGATTTGCGTTCCCTGCTCTGTTCTCATCCCCCTCGTGCGATGGAGGAGATATTTTCCCTTTTTGGAGGTCCTTGGGCACCAGCTGAGCCTGTGAGTTACTTAAAAACTGTCCAAAAATGTTCAAAATAACATTCAAACACCCTTCATTGAAATTACGAACGGAATTTTTAATACTGAGGTCACTACTTCTTCCCAACAGGTGTGTTTCATTTAAATCTAGAAATATGCTTATATCCAGATAGAATAATATAAATTTTATAATGCAATGATTTTATCCTAATAAAATATAATTTTGAGATTAATTTTTAGATTATTTTTTTCTTTTAGGCTAATTTTTCTTTTCGACTAATTTTTTCCTTTCGAATAAGATGATTTTTAAAATAACATAATGCCATTTTTTAATTTAAAAAAAAAAAAGTTATTGGTGTCTCCACGTAAGGATCGATTTATTCCTTAATTTGGAGATTTGGTTGGTGCCTGTGGCTTCTTGTATCTTGCTCCATTTCGCAGAATTACGCATTTTTGATGAAAACAGCTCTGATCTGAGCAGTTTTGTAAAAAAAGGGTGTGGGTTTTTTTTTTAATACATTTCTATTTCTTGAGCCACCGGTCTCATGGGTGTGTGCTTCCTGAGCACGGGGGTTATTTTCCCAGCGGAAGCTTGAAGTTGATGAAATTTCGGCAAATCGGAGACATTTGAGTGTAGTTGGACTGATGAAATTCTTCACATTTGGAGAAATGATGAGAAAAACCCTTCGCTCGCAGCGTCTGAATGGAACACAGACGGGTGTGGTCTGGTCCTTGCTCTTTAAATGTGCCGCGGAAAGCAGAACAGCCTTTTTTGTCCTTTTTTTCTTCCCCTTTTCCCCTTTTTTCTTCCTTTTTTTTTTTTAAACATAGTTTGCAGTTAAATTCATTTGTGTTTTTTTTAACAGCAGG